GTACAATGTGTTTCCCATTAACATCGAAAGTATGCTGCAACCGAATTTGAAATAATTTCAAATTATTGTATTTTTTTATTCAAAACAATGCACACACATACACAAAATGTGTATGTGTTGTGACAGAATAAGGTTACCAAAATAAAAAAAATTGTATTTAGGGGGTAGCTTTTAGCTACCTTCTGCAATTGTGCCATGATACCACTTATCAACATTTGGCTTTAGAGCAGTTATGGTTGTGTTTCAGAGGGAGGCAAATCCAACTCTGAATCGATTTTCACTAAATTTGTCGGAGACATTGCTATAGAGTGCATGAGAAGGATTATATTAAAAAGTCTATATTGGAGCCGAGTTTCACACGTACGTCCCGAAAATCACCCCATTTGGGCTGTTATGGGAGCTATATGCAACTCTGAAGCGATCTTGATAAAATGAAAAAATTCATTGTTGTCGAATTGTTATTACGAATGCGAGGGACTTAAACACCGTATCGGATGAAACATATATATGGGGCCATAGCTATATCTGAACTGATTTTCACTAAATTTGACGTACTTGCTTCTAGACTGAATTCGGTTCGATGTGCCAAAATACAGGTCATTTGGACTTATGTTGGCCATTTGGTGCACAATTAACCCGAAATCGGTTAAAGATGTATATGGGAGCCATATCCAAATCTGAACCGATCTTGATACAATGTGGCAATGTGGGCTGCATCTGATATCTAGTACCAAATATCATTGTTGTGAAGTGCTTATTGAAGTGCTTAGACTGAACTCGGTTGGATGTACTAAAATTCGGGTCTTATGGCCTTATGTTGACCATTTGGTGCCCCATTAACCCGAAATCGGTTGAATTTCATTTCACTAATTTCAAAAGGGTTCGTCCTTGGGCCAAACAAATGTTGTTTGGAAAATTTCATCTCAATGGGATAATAAATGCGACCTGACGAACTGACATGCATAAATCGACTCAGAGTGATGGGTCTATCTTGCTTCCTTCTCCCTGTCACAAACAAATGCACAAAGACATAATACCATTACCACTATCTGGTGTAGGGTATAAAAAGATAAAATACATATTTCTTACCTATTTCACAGAAAAAATCCTTATTTTCCCGGCTTTGCCGAAACTGCCATTTCGAGGAATTTGAGGGTTGCCATTTCGGTTTACTCGATTTCTTCCAAGCATTTTTTGGTTTATTGGTGAATTATGTTGGTATATACTATAATATTTTTTAAATTGCTTTTCCTATCGTTCGGAATCTTGCCTTTAAGTAGCCGAAGGCATTTCCCATCACTCTTCGAGCTTTCGAAAGGCGATTGTCAAATAATTTCTCCTTCTCTGGAAAATAAATGTAGAATGGGATTGGCTTCATAAGATATTCCAAAAGTTGGAAAGCGAATCCCCAATTGTGAAAAGTGGAACATTAACGCCATTTATGTTTCAACAATTTCCTTGAAAATCTGGACTTTGAAGCAATGACTTTAGTTTACTTTTTTTATATATATAAAAATAGTTGCACCAGGTCACTGATATTTATATAGATGAAACAAAACCTGAAATTAAAGGAAATGCTTATTGACAAACAACTAAGTAAGTGTTTGTACCTATCATTGTCAATATAATTTATAATTATTTGTAATTATAGTTGTAATATACCTCAAATTTTTAAAGGTTTGACTTCAATATGACAGCCATCCAGGGTAATTTTGGTATTTTAAGTTCTCTGAAGGGACATTATTTATTTAAAAGGACTTAAAAAGACTTATGAGCCCATGGCTTCGAATCCTTTGACATTTTTATTAGTCTTTTTCTCTGTAGAAATTTTGCAAGGCAGATTGTCCGAGGATAAAACTTGCCATACTTTTACGCAGAATTCATTAAATATGACGCAGATCGTACGACAAATAGACATCCTATTGTAGCGTATTCATCAAAGACCTATTGCTACTCTTTTTCTAATAAAATGCACTTTAATTCTCCGCTGTTTCAAATTGATATATTGCAGATCTTGTCTATTGTCTGTCTGCGATTGAGCACAACACTGAATAAAAAGATTTTTGAAAATTATTTTTTTTCCATTTGAACGGTGGGAATTGTCAATTGGTATGTTTTTATTTTCGGTAATGTATGAATACATAAACTGTCATTTATACCCTCTCAACTTTCGTTTACACCCCCTCAAACAAGTAGGGTTAACCTACTAGTTCTATTAAACCCAGTGGGCTTTAATACTGTAAACATACTTTAAGGCTTTAGGGAAAGTTATGGTTTGTATACAATGACTTGACAACCCTGTCACATTGTTGTTTCCTCTGTATGCACTTATGAAAATACGAAAAATAATCAACTGTTATGTGATTTCGAAAAGTGCAGACAACAACCGGATACCGAATATTTAAACTCTGTAAAAAACAACACTTGCCACCAAGAGAGGGTATCTTGGGGGTGGTATTATGCTTTAGAAGTAAGACAGAAAAGCCAAGTTAAAAAGGAATCACCAAAGAGCCAACATTGAGTAGCAGTCGAAATACAACGAAACGGTCTCAGTTTAGTGCGTGAACTCTTCGAATGTGGATGTCTTTCGTGAAACGTGAAGACCATTAAAAATTTAAATATAAAAAATAAAATAATAAAGAAAATTAATTAAATGAAAACCACATAGAAAGTGTAAACGCATTCGAAATAATTTATTGAAACAAGAAAGCAAAAGAAAAGAAGAAATTCCATTTGACAAAAAGTTGGTAATGTCAAAAATCCACAGGAAACGGAAATTGTGCTGACAAACAAAAAGAAAATTGTTTTCTCTTATGGTGGAGGATTCTTTTGGTATCCACCTTAAAAAAATTTTCCAGCTTAGAAAATTTTTGTGTTGAAAGTCTGCAGATGCAGTTTATTTGTGACATCGGGAAATAAGAAATCGTGGATACAATTGTGAAAATGCAATTAGGTGTTGGAAATTGATAATTTTAAAGTGAATTATAAAAAAAAGATGAAATACTAAAGTCCAAGTTTTTTTCAAACGAAAATCTCTGTACACCACAATTCTTCCTTTGGTTGTAACACAACCATCATCATCGTCATATGAAGGGCTCACAGCTATACCGAACTAAGTCATAAAAACATAATTCCATGATATTTAGAGGTAAAGTAAATGTACTGCAATTAATTTCTGGAAGCAATATTTTAGTCTACCAAAAGAAAATGTAAAAGTCTATATTCAAAATTAACTAATGATATAAAGTTAAAAGAAAAATAATTTAAATATATTACTAAAAAAATATTCAAAAACAAAAAACCTGCTTTGGTTCGTTATTACTCTGAATTAAATTTGAAGGTTTTACAGCTAAAACGAACCAAGTCAAAAAAATAAATAAATTGTTCATTTTATGACTAAATATAGTTGATGTTCCGCTTGTAATAAGCAACTGATGTTGATAGATTTGGAAAAGGCAATGCTTTTTGAATGTCGAAAGTACAGAAATAGTGCTCATCAGATGGCACTTCTGTATTCAGTGAGTCTCGAGCTAGCTGTGCTGCTTTTAAGTGAAGTTCCTTTTGCCAAATTAAATTTGTATTTTCGTCTTCATAGAATTTTATTTTCATGTTAAGTTCATCACATATTCGAAAGTTATCCTTATTCGGTCAGTGCTCCAGTGGTCCATTCCAACAAGTACCTCCCCCACAAAGGGTAAAAATTTTGAATAATTATAACTCTTATAAAATGTGATGAAATTTTCCGATTGTGTGCAAATTACACAGATCAGAATATTTTTATTATCCCACGCTCTGCTGTGAATATGGAATATATCGCTCCACTATCTCTGGTATCATCCCCACAAAGGGTCAACATTTTGAATATCCATGAAGCTCATAAGACGCGATATTATTCGATTTCATTCAGATTGGGTACATTTCAAAATTTCCTTCAACACAAGATCTGTTATAAAGATGGTAGAGATCGGACCATTTCTTCTGGTACCTTCCCACACAGGGTTCAAGATTTTGAAAAACAAAACTGAAAGAAAACGAAATAATCATCCAACTCCCTTTAGATTTCACACATACAAACATTTTCGCTAACACAATATTTGTTGTGAAGATGGAATATATCTGCGAACCCCTTCCGGTACATCACCCACAAGGGGTCACAATTTTCAATGCCTTTATCTGTCATAACTTGCGAAACAAGTCGATGATTCTTTACAACTTGCTATATCTAAATATTTCTCTCAACCAGAAACATGAGATGAATATGAAATAATGTACGATTTTCTTGTCATTGTGCCCATACTAATATTTAATGTGTATTAGGAAAAAGTATATCAAATAAAAAAGCAGTAAGTTCGGTCGGGCCGAGCTTTGAATACCCTCTACCATTTGGAAAGGATTTGGATATTAAAGAATACTTTTAAAAATCATAAAAATACCGAATATAGAGAGTTATCGTAATATGGGGGTATATACGAAAATGTGGACCTGCACAGCCATGTTTTGTCATAGTCCATTACAACATTCAAATAGGAAACTTGAAAAAATCCGGTAAATAATATCGCAAAAACTTCATAATACCGAATACGAAATATGAAAAAAATTGGTGAATAATGTCGTTAAAGTCATCAAAATACCGATCATTTCCAATACCAAAAGCCCTGTAGACCAAACACACATCTGAGTAAATTTTATTAACCTACTACAAACGCCTCGGAAGCTAGAGTGATTTCCACAGATGGACAGACAGACGGATGGACATCACTAAATCGACATTGAACCATTGCTGATATCTATATATACGCTGATTCAAAGTGAAACACACTGACTTGGTTCATTTTTGCTTTGAATAAAAACGAAAATGACAGTCGTAGACTTAGGTTTTTTAACGTTATCTTTGGAACGAAACACTTTTTGACATTGTGCTTTACAGAGTAAACGGAGTTGCCATATGCGGGGACATTGGCACTAGTTTCGGCATTTTTTATTTTTCATGACTTGGTTCGGTATAGCAGTGAGCCCTCCATATCATCACATCAAATCGTTGAAGTCGTCGTAGCCGCCGACGACGTTGCCGTTATTGTGGCACACAAAAGCATAAAAGAACAGAGCAGAACGTCAATGCAAACAGAGAACGGAAAGTAGCGCATAACGAATGTTGTCGTTTATGTTGTTCTTGTCATCGTTGTCGTCGTCGTCGTCTTCTACATTGTATGTGTTGTTCTTGTTGTTGCAAGTGCCGTCGTTATCGTCGTAGTAGTAGTAGTAGAACGTGTCGCGTAGTCGAGCCTTTCATTCCGTTACACTTCGGGCCGCGTGGTGCAAAACTCCCCACAAGCCACCCCCTCAGTGATATGAAATAAACACACACACACACCCGCACAGCGACCGACACACATTCTCTCACACCCAAAAACAAGAGAAAAGAAGTATAACGTCAAGTAACATTAATTGATTGTGTATCGTAACGCCGTAGTATTTATAAGACTTGCCGCTTTTTGGATAACACGCTTACCCTCCCCGCCCCTCCGTTGAAAGTTCGTGTTTCATGTGGCGAAGTGTATGCGAGGAAAACTTGTTTGTTCATACACATTTGTCAATAATTCTTGGCCAAAGGAGATGTAAGAAGGATTTCAACCCCATGCCAAGCAACCACCACCACCACGACCATTAAGTCATCATTACGATTTGTTCCAACTGTCCATGGAGTGAAAAAATCTTCAGCCAGAGAGAGAGATGTAGTGAGAGAGAAAGTGTCAAAAGACCAGTAACGGACACATTCGAAGAAAAGGAATTTCATAATTAAAACGGATGTTGCAGTTATTCCGAAAGAGACCTATAAGACCCACAACGCATGTAAGTTCGAAGTAAAGCAATATTCAGAAGAAGAAGAAGAAGTAGCACACAGAAAAATGTCATTGAGTGGCATTGTAGGAGCGCGCCAGTGCATAATAAATGAACGAAAGATACTAATGAGACAGAGAGTTAGTTTTATTGGCAAGTGATGAGTGTCAACCAGAAGAGAGTCAGGGAGAGCACGGCCGTATTTTATGCATTAGAGAGCAGCAACAGTTTCTGCGAATGAAACACCACAAAACGGCCATTTCGTATGTCATGTGACCATAATTACGACATATACCTATAACAAATGTCTTCACACACACACACGCACACTGTTCTCCCACAAATACCAATACAATTTGCATAACTGGTACATATGTGTTCTTTTTTCTCGTTTCTTGGGCATTCATTCTTCAACGAAAAATCCAAAAAAAAAAACATTTTTTTTCTGTGAGAATTTAAGTTTACAAAAATTGATACGTTTTTAATGATTGACTATGTGTGGGGTGTGGTACAATGACCCGAACGACGGCCAGTTTAATTGCAACACATTTTGGTGTTGTGTGTGTGCATCAACATCATCATTTTTTTTCTTTTAAAGGAATTGTTCAAGGTTATTCAGTGGATGGAAATATGGACTCAAATTATTGTGGCGCATGCTATATTTTGTGTATAGACAAAAATATCCAATCCAATTTTTCGCGCCTGTATTTTTAAATACATCAGCAACGAACGAATACTAGTTGGTCCTTCGTAATATTTGTTTTCACGTTGCGTGGGGACGAATGTCCATATGAATGCAAGGTGTGCGTAAAAATGCAAAGCCAACAACAAAAATAATTTACTATGAGTGTCGAAGTCTTTTGTGCACGAATGCAAGGTTTTCAATTAATAATATAAGAATTTCATGATTGAAATTTGACCACTGAGAAAATAATTGATTCGGATACGTCTTTCATTGGATCTTGAACCAACTTCAGAATATAATGCAAAGTTCCCTTTACAAAATCATACGTAATGAATTCAAATATAAAATCCTTGATTTTAATGTAACAGTGCGATATTACTGGCAGATTTGCAGTTTAAATGAAGCTATCGAAAAATCTTGATTCGCTCCAAGGGTGATATGGTTGAGCATCTATATTGGGTGTTTAAGTTTTTCACTGCATATTTATTGCATCTTTTTATATCCTATACCATACATAATAAGTTTGTTCCTTCTCGAAATGAGTACTTAAGCCCCCAAAAAATGTATATATTCTTGATCAGCATATTCTTGATCAACATATTCATTAAAGGGTAAAGGAAACTACGTTCTTTTAAAGTTGAACTGGATTTCTGTTGCTTTTAGAGGGATTCGATATAGCAATACAACAGAACCTGCATACTTCCCCGTAATAATCGTAGCCTCAATTAAATTTTTGTGTAGTTTTTTTGCTATAAGCCTTATACCATGGCAAAGGCGCAGGTATCTATGTTTCCTACTAAAAAAATATACAAATCAGAAGCGATTTTAATATAATTTTGACAAAAATATTTTTGAATCAAATTCCGTCACACATTCCACATTCCATACTTCATTGACATTTGACATACATAGCGTGTTTGGTGCATTAAATATACGAAATCGGCGAAAATATATATGGAAGCTATGTTCAAATCTGCACAGATTTCAATATAATTTGGCAAATTTATTTTTGTGCCAAATTTCGTTATTCATTTCGAATTTCATTAGAATCATAAATACATATCGTGTTTGGTACATAAAATATGTGCTATTAGCGGAAAATAAATATAGGAGCTATATTCAAATCTGAAATAATTTCAATATAAATTGGTAAATTAATTTTTGATTCCAATTGTTTTTATTGAAATTGAAACAACACAAGATCTGTTGTAAAAATGGTAAAGATCGGACCATTCCTTCTGCTACACCTCCCCCCACCCAACCCACATAAATAAGCGAAATAACATCCATCAATCCTATTTTTTTCACGTCCTTTTATTTCTACTAATACAAAATCTGCTGTGAATCGTTCCACTTCTTCTGGTACATCCCCCATAAAGGGTAAAAATTTTGAATATCCATGACGCTCATAAAACTCGAAATGAGCATCCGATTTCATTCAGACTTGGTACATCTCAATATTTCCATCAACGCAAGAACTGTCATAAATGTGGTAGAGATCGGACTATTTCATCTGGAACATCTTAAATCTGCTACTACCTAAATATTCCTCTCAACTAGAAATCTGAGATGAATATGGAATTTATGATTTTTCATAAAATTGAATATAAATGTTCGATTTTCATGTAATTTTTTCCACCCCAATATTTTTATATGTATTAGATGAAGTATGAGAAGGGAATACTTCCGTCGACCATGTCTGGTACTTCACTCACATTTTAACATCTTCTAATATAGTCCAAACCTGGAACTTCGCAATATTTATATCATATTTATTTAGGACCGATAAGAAATAGACGATATTGGCCCATTTCTTTGAGACCTACTCCGTAGAGGGTCGAATCGAACATTTCCCAAATTGCTTAAAAGCTGGTTATTTTTTCCAGAATTTCATTTGCACTTTTTGCCGGCATAAGCTCATAAGGATGATGAAATTGCTTTCCAATTGTTCATTCTGTATTCCATTTCAATAGGCAAATCTATACGTATATAATTACTCATATGTATAGTGTTCTTCTCAGAAAAAACTAGCTGGCAAGCAAGCGAAAACATTTAATATAAACTCATTAATGAGAAACCATGTGTTTTGTTCTTTTCGTTATTATTGTTGTAGCTGTGCGAAAGGGCTTGTATTTTATTAAAATAATTTGATTTAGATCCAATGTCTAGCATCATATGAGATTTGAACATACCACACCATGTGTTACCCATACACATAACTCGTAGGTACACACACACACACGCACACTTACACATTAAGGATGTGTTCTGTGGAATATGAATGGATAGATAGATAGATAGACAGAAAGAAATCTAGATGGATGGGTTGCCTAGTTTCCGGGTTCAATTTAGTTTTGTTCTTTCTTCTTTTGCTATTCATCTGCTGATCCAGTTTAAATGGTGTGTCTGTCAGTGTATGTGTGTGTGTGTTCGTGTTACATAAAAAAGTAGCCACTGCCATAATGACTGATATAAATTATTTATGATTTGTTTTGTTATCGCCGTTATTCTGCTAGACATTTGTACAAATATTTCTATTGACATAACAAACATAAATAGGTATATTAGAAGAAAATCGCTAATGTTTTAAATAATAAGTTATGACGGATAGACTGAATAAAGAGAAATAAATTTTTTAATGACTAATTTTGTTTTAATTCAAATTTACGAATTGAGATTACATTTTAAGTTTACGTTAGTTAAGATTGGAGAAAGGGGCAAGTCTGAGTCCCACACGTCCTTATAGGCATACACATATAGGGTGAGATAAAAAAACTGCAACAAAGTCAAACGCCATAATTTTTAATTTTTTTTTTGAAAGCAGAAAATGTCGGAAATAGCATCAAATTTTAGAATAACTTTAGATTTGTTCGAATTGGTCACCTTTGGCACGAATTATGGCCTTCAAACTGCTAATGAAACCGTCACATGCTGCCCGAATGTTGCTCTGCGGTATTTTGGACCATTCCAGGCGAAGCGCTTGCTTGATGTGATCGACACTTTGGTATATTTTAGAGCCAACCTTGCTTTCCAAAATACTCCAGGTTGATTAATACGAGCGGAGAGCGACCATCGGCTGTTATGGCATCACCATGGCCGGCGGAGAAATCCAAATTCGGCAGTTCACAACTTTCGGCCAAGCGAAGCAACACTTTAGCTCTTTTGAGTCTATTTTCTTTCTGCTGCGGTATAAGTTCTTGCACTTTTTGGAATTTCAATGGCTTTATCCCGAGCTCATTTGTCAATATTTGCCGAATGGAATATTGCGATATGTTCAGCTCACGGGCCATTTTTCGGCCACTGCGGCGCGGGTTTTGATTATTTTTACTTTTCGAACAAATTCTGCTTATGTTGCTGTTTTCTTCCGTCCACTTCCTTGACGTCAGGCTACGCTACCAGTATGACGGTAACGAGCGATGGTACGAGACACAAAAGATTTATCCACATTTAAATGCTGGAATGCTCTAACGATAGCCACTTGTGGTATTCCAGCCATATATATGGAATCACATTATCACGCTTAAATTCCATCACAAATAACTTTTTTTCTGGAAAATTCTAACCAAAATGATTTTTTACGCTTGTAAACAATAAAATGAGCTGTCACTGGAATAATTTTAACAGCTGTCGGACGAGTGGCTTAGAAATAACAGCAGTCTGAAGTTGGTTCCAGTTTTTTCATCTCACCCTGTAAGCCTTTAAACATCCGGCATATTTTATCAGCGAGTTTGCCAGTTCGTTACCTCTAATCCCATCATGACCTGTTACTCATATGATTCGTATTGATCCTTGTTGAATATAATTGTAGATTGCCGTTATTCAGTTTTTACAATATTTTGACTTAATTGTACGGTCTGTTGTTGCCCCGAGGGCTACAATGTAGCATTCTCCGGTGTTTTTGGCTGTAATTTAAAAAAAAAATTAACAACTTTGATTCTTCTTGTGGATTATTTTTATTGGGACGATGTCCTGTTGAGGTCCGTCACCACAGTTTATTGTCATTTGAGCCCTTTTTATGGTATTTTCCATCACTTCGGTCAAAACTTCCGGCGATAGGTCCTCACATTTTCGACGGATATTGTTTTTAAAAGCTGAAAGAGTCTGAGGCTTGTTGAAATAAGTCTGGAGCGGTCTGGCCAGTGCAAATCACCAAAACGTAAACGGGAAATGCGTCCTTCAGCATATCGATTGTGGCACTTGCAGTGTGTGCCGTTGCACCGTCCTGTTGGAACCAAATGTTTTTCAATTCCAACTCATCAAATTGCGGCAAAAAGAAGTCGTTGATCATTGCTAACCATTTACAGTAACCGCTTGGCGCGCGACGTCT